GGAGAGGATAAGGATGGATGTTGGACTGTCATTATTCAAACACTATGGTTCAATCCAATAAATTCCCCATGTTAAGATACAGATTTGCATAATCCCCAAAGTAATTGAAAAAAAAACTCAAGTGAACAGCACAAACTCACAGAAATATGCTTAATTGTAGGTCAGATAATCCAAGACAAACTCTTTCCAAATTGACCCAAAACAAAGACCAAAAATCCCTTTTACTAGCCTAATCAAGTTCACACAACCAGAGTTCACTGCAAGTTCACACAGCAAGCTGCAGACTTTGGTCTTCAACGCCATGGAGCTGAGCTGGCTTTGCCCCCCTCTCTATGTGAGAAAGACGACGAAAGCATCCAGTAGTTTCCCATCGTTTCGATGTGCCATGGCAGCCTGAAGCCATTTCAGTGTCCCTGTGTGTACCCACTTGGAATCAAATTCAAGACTGCAAAAATAGCGTTCAATGGCTTTGTGCTATTATGAACACATCCATGTGGCTTAATTTGTGCAAAAGAGTACCAACACAAGTGTCCTGCGTCACATATCGCCATATGCTTGGTGTTCTACGAATTTGCTCAAAACAATACAATAACCCATGCATATCACCCCAATCCAGTTTCCAAATACCTAACTGCATACCAATTATTCACAGCAACACTACCTTCAGAAAGGTATATGCCGAAACAAACTGAAGAATTTCTCCCACATAGATCTCTAAACTCACGAGTCATGGAGAACCAGTACTGGAAGTAAAACATACCGTGCACACCTCAGCGTCAGGCTTCCACCTCCTCAACCCCGGCGACGGCCGCCAGAAGCGACTTCTCCGGCCAGGCGACGGCGAGCAGCTTTATCTCTCCCCTAGATCGAGCTTCACCAGCCGGTGCTGCAATGACTATTCCTGTACATGCCTGGAGCGAAAGGAACCTTCATAGCTAAGTGAGGGAGATTACTTATACAGGCTTGAAATGCGAGAGCTGATCATGAATTTTGGCAGATGGAGGGAAGCTGTGGCTGTGGTGGAGTGGAGTGCGACGGGGAGCGAACCCACGTGGCAGAACCAGTCCATTCCCTTCGCGAATGTACCCAGAAGCAGCTGATTGGTTGATTTGTCCGTCTTTGGAATCAGTCACTAGTCGAGCGATTATTTTTTTCAAGAAGAGGAATTTCGCGGATGCAGCCGTGATGCGATGCCTGCAGATCCGCCGCAGCGCGCAGGACGCTAGTCAAAGTGTCGGCAGGGCAGATTGTGACTGCACGGCGGGCTGCTGGCATCAAACTAGCAAAGGACATCGGGGAAAAAAAGAACCTAGCAAAGGACAAATGATTGTACCACTGCATACGGGGATTCGGTCTAGAGCACATGGAATGGAACAGATTCCAGAGTTTTCAGAAGGCTTTTCCCTGAAGCCTGAAATCTTGCACTGTACTAGTAGCATATAGTACAAGAACTGAAACGTCGTTTGACACTAGACGAAAGGGAACGGAAGGAGGGAGGCAGGCAGGAGTAAACAAGATACCTGTGGTTGCTGCCAAAATCGAGGCCGGAGGCGAAGGCAGCGCCGGCTGGTGGGAACGCGGGCGGGCAGCCATGGATGCGGCGGCGGCCGCGGGGCGCCGCCGCCTCGCTGCTCCGGCGGACTCTGGCGAACGGATGGGCCGCAGCCCGCAGGACTGCAGGATGGCCGACGGTGGAAAGCGAGCAAGGATGGGCCGGGCTTCTGAGGTCGTCGCATTTAGCTAAGGATTGGCTCTGGCCCAGCCCAGAATAATGTGACCTACAGGCCCGTCCCGAGATTCCTGCTTCCGTACCGTATCCCCAAAAAAACCAGTATCCCTTTCTTTTTTTTCTTTATTAATTATTCTACACCTAAAAATAACTAATGTAATCAATCGCTTCACTCTCGGCCAACTTCGAAACCGTGTTGGACACACCGCGTGTAGTGTTATCGTCGTGTGCCTCGCTACGTGTCCACATCGAAATAGAGTCCGCAACAGGCAGCCACCTCACCATTTATTTAAACGGACGCAGCTAACTCACCCAAAGCAATCACGTACAGGCTCAAAACAAAGCAATCACGTGCGGGCAAACTGTTAGTTAATTCAAAAACAAAACAATCACTACAGGCCCAAAAGGTTAAAGAGTTATTGTCGCTTGCAAATTCAATCTCCTGTCCACCCATGTCTACCGAGTCTGCGTTGGGATTGTCTGCTCGCCTCCACCCATATCTGCAGAGTCCACGTCGACTACACCCTCCTACAAATGGAAGCACAGCCAGAGAGGTGCTTGTGCCGTGTGAAGCCGGTACGTCGCCAACTACTATCTCGTGGCTAGCTGCGATGGGCTCGAACTCGCCATGTACATCGTCGCACGGGCTTCATGGTTCTCACAAGGGTGATCGCGTCGGGTGGCGGCGCCCGTCGGGACGCAGCAGCGCCTGCAACACCGTGCTGAGAGGTAGCAGTGCATGTGGCGACGGCGTCGCGGGCACCATCATCGCGTACGGAAGAGGAAGCATCGCCCGTCGGTCTATTATCAATGCTTCATTCCCCGCAGGCGAATCCTACTATGTAGCTGATAAGTGGGAGCATGCTAAGCTATGTCTTGTTTTCAGAAAAGAACAATGCTTGCAGCTCTGGTTCTGCAACAACATAGGTTAATGGACGCTCGTGAAAAATATCTCTTGGCCACAATAGATGTGGACAAAAAATCATTGTCCCGTGCAATGCACAAGCATATATCTAGTTAGCTATAAAATACAGTATAGATATATAGCAAAATACTAAAAAAACAAAAACAAATTTCCGCATAAATATCACTGGTAAGTTTTATTAATTTTTATTAGTTGAGAATATTTTTAAATAGTTTTGTTTGTTTTTAATTATAACTTTCCTTTCTTTGTTTGTCTCCGCTGTATGCATCAGAATTAATTCTATATAACTATCATCGACTAATTTCTTCGCTGCCATCGTTTGTCGTTTCTCTTCTTTTTTCACTCCTACCCAATCGCTATATAATTAATTATCTATGAGCCTAAATCAAGGTCCCTTTTAGTTTTCTATGGTGAGCTCCATCTTTAGATAAAATTACTACTATATGCAAATCTGTCACGGTAGTTCTTTGGTCCTCTTATATGTTTGAAAATTCTTTTATGGTCTTTTAAATCTCTTTTGAATCCATAATTGCCTTTTGTACTGTAAACCATCATCATGTTTATCATAATTCTTCACATGTCTAGTAGGGCCACTTCTACGTACCTCAAGCAGCCATTAACAAATCTCATCATCATCGCACCAACATGCTCCCTCCATACCTATAAAGAAAGTCGTTTATGACAGTATTTAGCATACCAAGGAGTGATTAATTAGGGTAGAGTTTTTCATGTGTACCCCTATTAAATATGGTTGTGGGTGCATTTCGTGCGAGAAAATTCTCCAGCTCAATCGGTTAGTGCAGCGAGGCATGAGTCTTGAGGAGTTGAGTTCAATACTTGGTGGGTGCACTTTTTTACTTTTTTTTTTGCTGGTGGCTTTATTTTGCATGCGCTCGTTTTTTTTATTTTTTTGCCCTAGCGCGAGCGGAATCTGCATGGCGCGCTTTTTTCCCTGCTGCGATCGTTTCTGGCGCGTTTTTGTCTCCGTTGTTTGCTGGATTGGAAGGGAGGCGAGCGAGCAACTCTGCAGGAAGGGAGGCGAGCGCGGAACGGGTGGCTAGTGAAATGAAGCGCCGTGATTAATGCTTTGACCAGCGGAATGGCAGCTGAAACGCATGCCAGGGGCAAACGCGTCCAAATACTCCCCCAACAAGTGTAGAATGACATCCTATATGAAAACGCCCCACTCGCCCGGAACGACATCCTTTATAGGTATGGAGGGAGTACATCGACACGTCAAGTCATAAAGTCTTTTCAAACTTGCTACGGAACCAGCACTGACGCTAGTAAGGGTTTTGGAGGAGACATGGCTCCGGTTCGTCGGGGAGCCCTACTAAACACCCTCTAATAACTCTGTCACTCTGACTTAATGGTATGCTCATGTCACTCTATTTTGATTTTGATCATCCTGTGGTTTTCTAGTTGTGATCAAGTTTGAACCTATGAGCGTGAATCTAATTTATGTATCTAGAATTATGGATATATATTTTAAGAGTTTAGGAACGTATATAAATCCAACCAAATTAAAGACGCCCTGCAACCTGCATCATCTGAACGAGAAGAATTCAACACTGAATTGAGGCCCTATTTATTTCGCTGAAATTTGTTGTGAAAGGAAAACATTATATGTGGTTTTCTAGTTGTGATCAAGTTTGAACCTGTGAGCGTGAATCTAATTTATGTATCTAGAATTCTGGATATATATTTTAAGAGTTTATGAACCTATATAAAGCCAACCAAATTAAAGACGCCATGCAACCTGCATCATCAGAACGAGAAGAATTCGACACTGAATTGAGGCCCTATTCATTTCGCTGAAATTTGTTATAAGAGGAAAACATTGTCTGTGGTTTTCTAGTTGTGATCAAGTATGAACCTGTGAGCGTGAATCTAATTTATGTATCTAGAATTCTGGATATATATTTTAAGAGTTTAGGAACCTATATAAAGCCAACCAAATTAAAGACACCCTGCAACCTGCATCATCTGAATTCGTCAATGAATTGAGGCCCTGTTTTTTTCGCTGAAATTTATTGTAACAGGAGAAAATTGTCCGTTCATTGGAAAAATAGTTCAAGCGAACCTGGCGGAGAATGCCCACAGGCTAGAGGCGTAGAGCGAGTCAGCGACCCACACCCACCTGCTACATTTATGCGGCCGGTCGATCGATGGGCTTCCTGTATTTAAGGCCCGCGCTACCTGGCCTTCCTCAACTCCAAACCAACGCCTCCCAACCAACACTCTCTCCCGGCCCTCTGCCCAACAAGAGCACCAGCAGGCCATATCCGCCACGCACCCACGCCAAGGTACAGCATATAACATCAAGAATCCCTGCAGGTTGCATCCATGGCGGCGGCGCCATCATCATCGCCACAACCACGGCGAGCCGCCCTACGACCGCTGCTGCTAGTGTCTCTCCTCCTCCTCCTCTCCGTCGTCGTCGCCGGCCACGCCGCGGCAGCCAGAGTAGCAGCGCCGGCTGAAGCGAGCTCGAGAAGCCCAGAGCAGTATGGAGATGTGGTGAGTTAAATTAAGCCTCCTATTACCAGCCAGCCTAGCTAGCTAGCTTATGCTTCGCGCACAGTCATGGCGTCGAGCAAAATACATGCATGTTATTAGCATTTTATCACGTGCAATATTATATTAGGTGTACGAGGAGAAGGCGACGAGCTTCGCAGGGGGCGACGAGCGGTGCGGCGGCGGTGGCGGATGGGGAGAAGAAGGAGAGGACGTCGAGGAGTGCCTGATGAGGAGGACGCTGGTGGCGCACACGGACTACATCTACACCCAGGGAGGAGGCCACAACTAGCTAGCTAGGTAGAGCTCGCAGTAGCAGCTACTAGCTAGCTAGCTAGCACACCTCAGATTGCATTGATCTGAATGCACGGTGTAGCTCCGCCGGATTATCATTGTAGAGATGTCAACCTTCCCATCCATTGTCGATTACATTGGTGTATGAGCTCAGATGTATGTAATGTAAGCTTTTCTTTGAACTGGTTCAGTTGATTATTGGTGTTGTCGACTGTACGAGCTTATTTGCAGTTGGTGAACGAACGAACTTGCTGCTTCGTTGTTAATTTCTTGTCTAGCAGTTGCCTGGCCGGGCAGGATCGAGGCCCTACTCCTGCCGACTCTCTTGACTCTTGAGTAGGAACACGGCAAAAGGGATCTACGATCTAGTCGTTGCAGGCCGGCCGCTTGGCCTTCTCTGCTACAACACACATGGCAACGTTTGGTCCCACTATACCAAACATGCATTGAGATAGAAGTCGAACAAGCACACAGCCAATCCCAATTTTGATATACGAAATTGTGTATGCATCTTTTTCCGAAAGATCGAAATGGTGTATATGTATCAATGAGTGGTACGATAGTTCGTAAGTATGTCAACATGTTGTTAACTAGCCTTTCGGGGGGCCTTACACAAATTTGAACCGGAATCAACATTCCCAAATTGAAATGTCCAGGCTCAATGGTAACAGATCGAACCATGGAAGAACAAACCATCAATAATCAAGCACATCCTCCCTAGCTCGACGCCATAAAGATATCTTCTCAGCATCCATCTGATGCCACAAAACAAAGCTGCCATTAAAATGCAGGCAACAAGCAGCAGCAGCAGCAGTACAATCCCGTGACTGTTGTACTCCATGTCCCATGTGCCATGTTCATGCATGGTACGAGTTGACTTATGACCTCATGAGTGGACAACGAGGTAGACCCCAGACCTGACGTCTATGCCGGCCTCACTTAATTCATTTTATTTTGTTTTGTTTCCGATGCCAATCCAACTTGCTGATCGCTGGATCGATCAAGCGCATCTAATTCAGCGTCCAGCTTCGTTAAGCTACCCATCAAAAGTGCGCTCCGGCCAATAATGGTTTCGCCGCCGCAAGATTTTTAATTTAATTGGTTACAAGTTAAATTAAAACTAGGAAAAAGATGCTTCGTTCTGCCAGAATTTCTGGTGCTTCGCCAAACTTGGCCTAATTTCTGGTTGTTCTCGTTTACTAGGTCACTTATGAATTTGGATACTTCTGTATATATCATATCATCATACATCAAGCTTTGTCGGATTCAGATTTTGACGATATATACTCACTCATGTTGGATTAAAACACGTTTTGGCATCTGTTAAGTTGCTAATGTTTGTAGGCTTTATGGTTTGACCAAAACTTATCCTAAACGACTGGTAATAGTGTATAATATTGAGTTATACAATATGGGTCAAATCATCATAAAAGCAGTTTCATAATAGTACAATTATATTATGTTCTGTATATAAATAATAACATTGCTATCGGTCAAGTTATGTTTTGTAGGTCGCATTAGTTTCCAAAATAATAATATAATAATATTTGCCTTTTCTATTCTGTGTCACTGTGTGTGGGAGCTGAGAATACTTGCCCAACTATAAGTCTATAACATAGCCAAATTGGTCGTCACCAGCATTGTTCAGGGGTACATGTTGGAGAAATCAGAGCACTGAGTCAAACAATCGAACAACCTAGACTGTACACACTATACAACTTTCACTAATACTACATGATTGGATCAGTAATTTCCAACCTGAAAAGTGAAAAGGGATGACTCGTGGAAACCCATGATTGTCACGACAGAAGTGACACAAATTCTGAAACAGTGGGAGTGGATCACAAAATCCCCATGAGACCACATATTGGACATCAACCAGGATGGCCCTGTTCGCTTTGCTGAAAAGCCATGGCTGAAAGTACTGTTCACTGATTTATTGAGAGAGAAAAATATTGTTCGTTCGCTGAAATAGTATGGCTCATAAAACAAGCGAACAGGGCCATTGTATCGAATCGCATAATGGAATAGGAAGCACAAATTAAGCAGTACGATCAAGCCTGCTAGTGATGTCAGGCTGCATCGTCGTCTTCCTCCAGATCACTGAAAGACACATCTTCATCATCTGCTATTGGAATTTTTGTGTTTCCTGGGTCACCTGTCTCCTCTTCCAGCCATTCATCCCCATCGTCATCTTCGACCATGTCGCCATCCTCAACATTATCAGTTTTCTGAATGTCAACTCTTGATTGCTCACTGATGTCAGCCAGTGGTTGTTTCAGCTGATCATTTTTAGGGGGAGAGTTGTCCGTCAATGGTATCTCAGACATTTGCGCACTATGTTCTTCTTTTGCTGCATCTTCTGTAGAGACAGTGCGTGTGCTTTCTTCCATCCTAGATGGTGTGACCACGGCAGTGACTTTCGATATGGGCACTAGCAGTACAGGTACACTGCTGCTGACATTGTTTGAAGAAACAGCTCCAGTCTCGCTGATTGTATCATTTGATAGAATATCCTGTTTGATTGGTTGTGGCTTGCCATAGTCTATGTTGCTAAAAGATGTGAGCATCGCGGAGTCATCTTGGCCCTTCAATACACCCAAAACCTCTACAGGAGAACCTAACACACCATCTTCATTGCTGAAAGGCACAGGTACGGTGTCTCCATAGCTGCCTTGTAACTTCGTCCGATACTGCAAATCGTGTGACAACTTGTCTCTAGCGTCCAAAATCTGTGCCAAGGCAATCAGGAACTGATAAGTCTGCTAGCAAACAATGTCTTGAGCTGGCAGATACCAGCTTATCTTTTGTGCAGTCAGCACAAATAAAAAGGTCTGTTGATGCATCATAACCAGTAAGAAAGCAAAATCATCAGCAGAAACTACTAAAGCATTGAGAGCCTATGGAAAATGATGTTCTGTCAATATATCTGCCTCTCAAGACTCATGCATGCATCTGAGGGCTAAAAAGTGTAATGAATTATTCAAACAAAGGAGCTAATCATTTGTCATATTGCACTTTATGTCCCATGGGCCATGGCTTTTGTTGAGTCAATATTCACTTGATGGCTAATTCTGACTTTTTTGCTATTTGACATGTTTCCTCTATTCACTTTATAATATCACACTTCAGAGTTCAGACTCATGCAAAGCATCATTCTGGAACAAAATTGGGCTAAGGAAGAAACTGAATCGATAGAAATACAGTAACAAATAAAACTGGACAAGGCACTCAGTTATTATAGAAAATTAGTAGAATATAACGAACCACTTGAACTGTCCAGAACAAGCTAGTCCCATTCAAAACTAGGGATGTATTTGGATGGCTAACCTATCATGACTTGCAAGAAAGAAAATTTAATAGAAACTACTAAAGCATCAGAAATATTAGGCTTTCTGTCAATATATCAATATCTAAAGCATAGATGCCAGGGAGGATAACAATCGCAATGAATCAATTTAGCTATAAATTATGGTGAGCCAATTTCAAACTGTTGGCCTAGTGCAATGTGATTTAACTCCACTCCCTTGGAAGAGCAAAGGAAGCAAAAAAAAGAAAAAAAAAAGAAAAGAAAAGAATGCAAATTAGTTTCACTTTTAGGCAGGAGGAAGGGAATGTAGGAAGGTTTCACTATCTTAGATGACATGAATGAGGTGTTGGATTCGGATTATTAATCCACCGCATTTGTGACACTTTGAGATAAGTAAAGGCTTCATGATCTTATCCAACAAAAAGGATAGGTTCCATGGCAGGCACAGAAGCACAAAGCTTGAGAATGTGCATAAGTGTGCCGCATGAGGCTATGATTAACCAAAATATTTTTATGATTTTTTAAAATCGAAGAAATTAATGTTTTGAAATCAAATTCCAGAGTGAGGTCAAAGTGTCAAACTAATGATCAAGTATCAGATGGAACATTAGGCAATGTAAAGAGGGGACAACATAAATATGGCAATGATATATGGACCATTTTACTCAAACAGTACGTCATTTCATTTGAAGAATGCAAGTGCCTGGCCTTGCACAGATCGCTCACTCATTCTGAAACCATAACTATGATGCAAAGTTTTTTTTTTTTTTTTTTTTTTGGTAAAAACACAAATTGCTTATGTACATTTTGACCATATTCTCATGCATACTATCGCAGAACAAGCATGATTGCCTTACCAGGACACAAAACCTTTGGTGCAAGATATACCAAATCAAAGTGCAAAGCAATCACAAGCACTTAAGTTTCTTGCCGCCGCAATCTTCCATGATTCCAAATACAATGTAGCAGATATCAAAATGTGAAACACAATACAGTCTCAATTTAACAACTAATCTGATCCTCTGCATCTTATTCACATTCCTTTACTCACCTCAGCTAACAAATTTTAGGCTGATATTGGTACAAGGTGAACTTACTACTGAATCATCAAAGACAACTAACTTAGTTAACTAGCATGAAGGAAAATCCTCAGGTACTTACTAGTGAACTTGTATTACTAACTCATTCAAGTGTTGAACTTAAGATGTCAAGGAAAATCACCTGTGCAGTGGATAAAATCTCGGCATCATCCTTCCTGAGCTTAGGATGCAGCAGCACGAAGTATATCTTCCAGAAGCAGCCCTCGCTCATGTGGCTGGGGCAGAGCTCGATTCTCAGATCAGCAAGCTCGGGCGCCAAGCTTTCCACGGCCAGGGCATGATCTTGCTGCGCATCAGTCATGTCAAAATCTGCGCTCCAAGTCAACAATGCAACTGAGAATTAGTTCATCTTAACTGAGACCAATGAAGAAGAGCGTCTGGGGAGGCAAGAAAGGATAGCACGAACCATCGGAGTCGGCGTCGTCGGGGAGGAGGGGGAAGTCGAGCCACAGCTCGGGCCGCGAGGCCGCGTCCCGCGCGAACGCGACCACCTCTTCGGTGACCCCCGCTGCCGCCTCCGCCCAGTCCGCGTCGCCCTCAGGGGGCAGCAGCGAGGACGCGATCTTGGCGAGATCCGCTACGGCCTGGCGGCCCGGGAGCCGCGCGAGGCCTGCGCGGAACCGGCCCGCGATCTCGGCCGGGTCCGGCCGGCGCAGGGCGCCTCCGCCTCCAGGCGCCGCGGGCGCGAGGAAGGAGGCGAGACCCTGGAAGCGGTTCGCGAGCGCGCCGGTGAGCTCGGAGAGGTCCTCGCGGACGCCGCGCGGGGGAGAGGTTGACCCCGGGGAGGCCGAGGGGCCCGGGTCGCTTGCTTCGGATTCTTCCTCGGTAGCGAGGAGGGAGTTGGTGATGGAGCGCGCGAGCCACGCCATTGCCGGCGGCGGCGGCGGTGCGGCCGTGCGGGAGCGGGCGATTGGAGCGGAGGGGAAGGTAGCCTTGTGTCGTGTGTTCCCCTGTCACTGTCGGGTGGGCCCGGTAGTTGAGGATTACTTCCCCAGGAGCCCAGGACAGAAGAACACGTGAGTTTCTGAATTATTACACGTTCGATGAAGCAAAGCGTAAACCTCCAATATAAGCCTATATGAATTTTGTATTTAATAATCTCTTAAAAGTTTTCAAAAATATAATAATTTCTTAATAACCTATGGTACATAATTTATTTATGTGTCCGTTGCTTTTTTGTACAATTGTTTGCTTCAACTGTGATGCTTCGAGATACTACTATTTTTACGTTTACTCTTTTTTTCCCCAATTTTTTCATCACATATATATAAAAGGCGCTAATAAAATTGAATTGTTGCCAATCACCATTTTGGATCAAGTTTATGGAATAAAGCTAAATTCCCTCTAGTTGGTGGACCATGAATTGTTGAGCTTGCAAATATCTTGCATTGATAGTGACTCGCAACCTTATTGAACCTTATTGAACGGCGGATAAGTTTGTTTGAGCTACAAACGGCGAAAACATCTTTGTTTTTCAAATAGAAAAAAGGATATAGAAGAATCTAAGGACTATATCGCTGAGACTCATGTTTGTATCCATACCTTTGATTGGTTGTTGTAGTTTTGTTGAAACCTAGATGTTTGATTGAGCTACCGATTGTACAAAGATCATTTGCCAATTGCAAACCTGCAAACTCAAACAATAATGGCCCCTCTTGATGGCAATAAAGAAAGCAGATCAGTGACTTGGAGTCCAGCAGCATATGTGGTGAGGCTCTATGTGATGTTTCCTTTGTGGTGGCGAGAGCGAGGTGTGGAGTCTAACGTCGTATGTGCTATGCCCCCAATTATTGTGTGTTTTGTAGTCATTTTATGAGACAACCTTAGAAATGTCTAGATCTAGTGAGATCTTTCCGTTGATTAGAGCATGGTGCTACAGTGCACTATGACGAAGAGTCATGTATGACGCGGTCTTCTTAGTGTGCTTCTGACAACAAAGGGCTACAACTTAAGTCTTCACAATAACTTGCACGTAACTTGAGGGCGGGATCAAATGTCGCGGCAATGATTGGCTCTACATATCACTAAATCAGTGGTTATATTGGTACCAAGTAGACCTTTAGTTGTGTGGCTCACGAGTTTGGCATCGAGCTTCTCTTTTGGTAGTTTGTTGTTGCAGTGGTCGGAGGTGGTTAAGAGTTTGTTGTGACTCGTCGTGCATAATGCGTATTGTTGTTTGTTTGATCGGTCACTGAGTTAAAGTTATTATTGTGTTTTTTCTTATAGGTAGCATGTCTTTCGTTACTTCTATATCAATAAAAACAACCAATATCAATGCTGATTAAAATAACAGCTAATGATCCTCTCCTACTTCCTCGGGTTCCACCTGTTTCGAGCCGTTTACTTTTCAATTGAAATCCGCCGTCAAAGTCATCCATGAATATCCACCAAAAGCATTAAGTTTTCAACTATATAAACACAAACTTGCCAATTTCGTTCACCCAATGCTTAGCAACGAGCAAAATGATGAAAAGAGATTCTCATATTGATGGCAAAATAGAATGACATCTCCACTATAATGGATCATTCAAAATTATAGTAGGTCCCCATGAAAATGTTCCCCGCTAAGAGCCTCCAACCATTGCATATTCAAAAAAATACACATAGAATTTCGTCTCCATTAAAATCAAAGACTAATAAAACATCTAAACCAAATCTGATGGGCACTATTCAATGTGTGATGCCAGACTTCTCACCCCCGCGCCCTCCTCACACTTCATCGCATGGAGAAAATGGGATTTTTGCCCTTATGGGGAGTAAGTTTGTGGGCTTCACCATAATGCCCTTACGAAAAGTGTGTTTCACGCTATTTTATCATTTTGTGTTTTTTCCAACTTTGTAAATTTCTGACCCATCTTTTTGATCAGGCGTGACCGTTTTACCCCTGTCTCCTCCTAACTTATCCTCTTGCGGCAATTTCTCCTTTCTCTCCCATTCTCTCTCCATCTCGACCGGTGTTCGGACGGGAGCCCGCCGCCGGCCGCCGCCGCCCGTCCACGCCAGGCCGCCATCGACGGGCGTCCTTGCCCCGACCGTCTGCGCCAGGTCGCCGCCTCGACGCTTCTGCGCCAGGCCATGGCCGTGGCCCCACCGCGTCCAGGCAACCTGAGCGGGCGTCGGATCAAGCAACCTGGAAAAACTTTATCCTCACAAGGAAATACGCGACACAAGAAAAGCCAATCACGGACCAAAGGAGAACGAACAGGCAGCCTGAGCTCCACGGGCAAGCACCCGCATGGGCAGAGAGCGTGTTCGGCGCTAGGAGCGCTCAGTGCTGGGAGCGAACCTGCACTGCATCTGATTCACATGCAGATCGAAGAAGCCGGGAGGAAGTGATCGAGATCGCTAGGCACCGCTCGCACAGATCATCGCGGGCGCCCTTTCCATCCAGCAGGTACAGCACAGAGAGTAAGAGAGAAGACGCACAGGACAGGCAGGAAACGGCCACGAACAACAAGGGCGAGCTGCCCTTCTCTGATGGCGAGCAGTCAAGCACAGGAGCCACGGGCGACGCCGGCTCGGACCTGGGCGGGCGGACGGTGCTGCAAACGCACCAGCACGGCTGGGCCCCACCCGCTTGCGCTGCTTCACACGAGCGCTCGAACTTGGAACTGAGAACGAAGAACAGAAGGAGCGAGCGCTGCAAGGCCTGAGCCGATTTCTGCAAGACCGAGCAAATCAGAAACGCAGCAGCAAGGGAAGGGCAGGGACTGCACTGCGCCGTTCCACTTCACACCGGTGGCTACTGTCCCCAACCAGAAACGCATGAACAGGAAGCTGAGCGGAACGAACAGAAAAGGGCGGCTCCAACAAATTCAACCAAATCCTACCCAAACCTCCGTGAACCGCTCCTAAACTTTGCACAGATGCAATTCAACTTAGCACGAACATATTCCACAAAAATCATTGCCTGGACGCGGTGGGCAGCGGCAGTGGCCTGGCGCGGAAGCGTCGGGGCGGCGAGCAGACGCGGCGGCGGCCTGGCGCAGATGGTTGGGGCAAGGACGCCTGGTGACGCGCGGCCTGTCGACGGCGGCCTAGCGCGGACGGGCGGCCGACATTGGACTCTCGCCCGAACACCGGTCGAGACGGGGAGAGAACGGGAGAGAAAGGAGAAATTGCCGTGACTGTGACAAGCGAGAAAGAGGATAAGGTAGGAGAAGACATGGGTAAAATGGCCACGCCTGGTCAAAAAGATGGGGTCAAAAATTTACAAAGTTGAAAAAAACACGAAATGACAAAATAGCGTGAAACACCTTTTATAAGAGCATTTTAGCGAAGCCCACGAACTTAAAGCTTAATAACATCCTCGCCAAGCCCACTCCCGTAAGGGCAAAATTCCCATTTTCTTCGTCGCGCGACATCCGCGATCCAACCACGCTCCAACCACGATCGAAGTCAACCATCACCGAATAAAAAAAAACGAAGTTCGAAACCTTCCGGGCCGCCGCCTCCTCCCGGATCTGGCAGACCAAGCCGGCCGCCACCTTGCAGATCCCGATCTCACGAGGAGGCGCCCCAGGCCACCCCACCAGCCCCACTGCAGATGGAGACCGTAGATGGAGACCGGCGTGCGACGCATGCGCGAGATGATCGCGCCGGGACGGCGCCATGATCAGACCACGCCACACCACCATTGGCGGAGAACACTAAGGCAAAGGCAACGACGACGCAGATCGAACTGGCATGGCGTCGCTCCGGATCTGCCTCCTCGCCCACGGCCCGCTTAGGCATCAAAGGCGTAAGCGCCCCTCAATCCGCATCCCTCGCCTTGACCACTCACCATGGGCCGGTTAGGGTTGCTGCGGTGCGATTTGCTTAGGCTGGGTGTAAGTTTTCCGTTGGTCGCGGTGATTTGGATGTATGCGGTGGTAGATCCGTCGGTTCCTTGGATAATAGTTGTGCTCGCGTGATGAAATGGTTGGGTAGCTAATGTTTTGGGTCTGAGATTTGTCTGCGCTCTGCTGTCATTTTGCTTTCGATCGGACCATGAGATCACTAGATATGTTTAATGATGAATCAGGAGATGCACTTTATTCAGGTTTTCTGCCCTTTGGTCTTACATGTGGTCAATGGTTAGCCTTTGTCAGATTGAGAATTGCCGAATCTGCAGCATCTGATAACTCAGGAATTAGCGATAGCTGATATGCAAAAGAGTAGTATCCTTGTGTTTTCTGTTTCTTCTCGGCGTGCTCACTGGTGTTATTATAATTAGAGTTTGTTTCTTGTGTGTATTAAAGGAGCCTGTATCAATTTGTTTGAGGTTTTGTGTCCAGTTTAATTGTCTGGTGGATACAAATTAGAAATAATGGTTCGAGGACATACGATTTAGAAATAATGGTTTGAAACATTAACTATGCAACTAGGGTTGGTTATTATTTTGATGCGCTACTTTGTTGTGCATCCTTTATAGCAGTGATTGAATTCACTTAGAGGATTATAATTTCCAAAGTTACATCAGATTAGGTTACACCTTCGAAGGATTCATGGCTGCTACTGTGATTCTTTTACGAATTTTTACTATACATTGGCCGATATTTTCTCTCCTCTCCTCAGACATCAAAAGGATCCTTTTAAATTTTTAAGAACTGCTTCAGAGCAGTATAAAATTGTGATCTTTGAGGGAAAAAATCACATCAAAGAGGAGAGGAGATATGTTGTAAGAAACATTTTTTATGCCATATGAAATTGATGCATCAGTAGTGCTTCAGGAGCCATAATTTGATAAAAGTTATGATGCTAAGTAAGATTTGTAGAGTAAGGCTCAGTATCCTTTTGTTGAAATTCAGTTGAACCAAAAATAGGCCAAACTATACTGGCTCTATATATCTTATAGGCTAAATCCTATTTATTTGATACAACTTTTGCA